ATAGTTTTTCCTTGTCCACCATTTCAGGATGTGAAACCGAAGACGGGGAAACCATGGGAAGTGACGAGTTAGAAGGCTAGCCATATTGTAATTGGATATAAATGTTAGATATGAATCATGATCTTGTATTTGGAGACTTTATTGGAGATTAATGACATGAGAGAATTATAAGATTTGATCTTCAGATTTTGATGGTATTAGAGTGTAAATTTGATGAGTTTCGAGCCTTGTGCATTTGTGGGACCCGTCTCACGAGTGCACGGCGTCTGTTGCGTCTCGAAATTGGGTTTTGGGGCGTGACATACATTATGGTAGTCTAGCACCATGTGTCAAAGTTTACTATAAATCTTGTCATTTATTGAGTTTTATTTGAATTGGGAAGTTAGTAGAATTTTTTAAAGAGTAGATCATGTTGGGGTTCATTTGAAGTTAGATTAGGAATTAAATATAACTGGCAAACTTAGAGTAAAAGTAAGAGATCTTGCTGCTTGATGTGGAAATAGCTAGACATGCATACAAAATGGTGAGGAATGGACTGAAAATCATGGGGAACAAATCCAACAGCAAGGAAAAACCATCTCCTTCGACAAAATTTAGTTTTTCAAGCCTTTCCCTTTTAGAAAATCACCCAACATGCATAAATTCAATTCCATATCAATTTCAATTCCAGATTTGATCAACCAACCTCTAACATAGATTCAAAAGCATGATCTTCTTCATAACTTTAATTTGAATCTTCTATTTTGTTGGAGATCTATCTAGCACAAGAATTTTTAGAATCAAACAAAATTTGCAATACGTTTTTCTAGACGAAAGTTTGAAACTAGTTTTTACCTCATCTTTTAGGTTTTCTTTTGTTGTTTTATTCTAGTTTGCTTAGTTTTTGGGATTTGAGACCATATCTCATGTCTTTATGTTAATCATTGATGCTTTTCTAGTCATCTAACTCGGAGGCTGTTTGGAAGGAAAAGGTTGTCAAGAAAGTCTTTTTCTTGCTTTTGTTATAAAGCAAGTAGCATACCTGAGTACATTTGTCACATGGCAACCGAAAGGAGGATTTTTTTGGAAAAACAATACACTTTATCAATCTAAAACAAAGGATGAATTAAAAATTGACGTTAAAAAAGGGATAGGGTCTAGAGCCATAAAAATAACAATAACAATGGTTGAAGTGTTATCCATAGCCAAATAGCAAATTTACCCTAGATGCATTGCAAGCATGTGGTATTGTCTCTTACTTCATGCCTATTGTATTTTTAACTAGGGCCTATACAGTATGGCAGTTTGGAATTAATAGTTTGGGGTTTTGTTCAAGCCTCTACATAATAGGTTTTTTTTAACAAGCTACTAAATATTTAGTGTTCGATAAAATTTGTTACAAAGTAGTTTGAAAGTAGTAGTTAGTGATTAAAGTTTAATTCACTAAGAAATACAAAAGATACCCTAAATTGCTAGTAGATTGAATATTTTAAATTTTTTTCACAAATTTACCCATAAAATAATTGAGTATAGAACATATCTTCCTAAGGAGTGACTTCGCTCAAAGCTTTCTTGCTTTTCTAGACTTGACAATTTTTTACCCAACTCATTAACTAGTCCATTACCTACCCGTTTAAAATGGGTTAAGGCCAGATATTTATGACCCACGACCCGTTAATGACTTGTTAAGAGAACCCAACGGGTAACAGGTTAATAATGGATTGACCCATCGGGTTAATGGGCTTAATCCGTTCACCCGTTTGAAAATTTAAAACTTTCTAATTTATTATTTATTTCTTTTGTTTCTTAGTTCCTAATCCCACCTAAACTTGTAATAACTGACTAATTTTCCTTAATTAGCTAAATATGTTCCAATGGGGTTTGGGTTTTTTGGTGGTCATGTTATTACTGCTTCCTTTTTTTTTTTGCTATTGAGATTTATAAATGTATGGTGTTCTCAAATTTGATGAGTGTTGTTCTTTGAAAGAAAGTGAAAAAGGTGATTATGAGGAACTATAAATATGTTTTATTAAATTAATGGGTTTATAAGATGTTGAATTTTATTTTTAAATCTTTTGAATAATTTTCTTTGGATGATAATAGGTACAAATTATAGAGAAAAAAAAATTTTAATTGGGTCAATTCGCGGGTTAACCCGTGACCCGTGATGGGCGGGTTAGGGTTAGCTTTCATTAACCCGTGACCCGTTTTAACCCAACCCGTTTTGACTCGTAACTCGTTCTACCCAGACCCTAACCCAACCCGACTCGCCCATTTGCCAAGTCTACTTTTCACCCCAAATTCCTAGCTTCTCATGATCTAAAAAACATAAGGCCACAATCTATACATTTCCGTTAACTTGATTCATAAATTTGATGTTGTTAGAATAGTAGTTTGACCCTGACCACTTGGCCTAATAAAATCATAATATGGGCTAAGCCTCAGTTTAAGCCAATAGTTTGCAAGTCTTATGTATTGTTAATACAAAAATGAATTTAACAATAGTATGTTAGAGAGAAAGGAAGATGAGCAGAGATGAGAGGAGGGCAAAATTTTGTCTATTTAATTAGAAAAATTTTGGAAGAAAGGGAAGCAGAGTTCTCTCTTTATTTTTTGCTTTTAATTCAGTCACTTATCCAAATGAGTGGAGGGGATGGAAATGGAAGGATGTCATATCCTTCCATTCCTTTCCTTCCCCTCTGTTTCTTTCAAACCAAACATACTTAGGTTTAGTAGAGATAGAAAATCTAGTAATATAAATATTAACCCTAAAAAAGTTGTAAGAGGTTAATACCATTGTCTTCAATTTTGGCATAGTGAAAATTTTCTTTCTACTGGTGGTTTTTTCCTTATCAAGGTTTCCCTTTGTGCAAACTACAAACTAAAAGTCATGGCTAAGAAGGAAAAAGCTGGACTACCAAGTTTAACAGAATATCTGTAAGTTGGTAAAGGTAAGTGGGTGTAGGATCAGGATCCAAAGAATCTTAGTGTGCAAAGGGAGTCATGCAACAAGGAAGATGAAGATAATGTTTTGCCTACTAATATGAGGTTGGAAAAGAGTTCTTAGCAAGATGAGAAAAATGGTTTAGATGGTCATAGCTTGCCTCAACTCCTAATACAATGGGAGTTAAGATTAAAGATATTGGAAGATATTTTGATTATTTGCACATGACTGGAGTTAGCCAAGCTCAACGTGGAATGTCATTAAGCAACTAGGAAGAACCTTGGCAAATAAAGATAAATCAAAAAACCCCAAAAAGGACTAATACTATAGCTTGCAATATCACTACAACTTTAAATAGAAGCTTGCAAGATCTTACAATCTCAGAAGAAGTCTTCAAAATAAGGAAAGATATAGATTGAGTGCATATGGTGTTAGGAAAGATGCATAATAAGGATAAGCAATATGATCAGTTGGAAAAAGATTCATTCTTACAAGATATTTATGTAAAAGTATTTCAAAAGGGTTTTAAATTTCCAAAGCTACAAGCTTATGATAGAAAAAGGTAATTCCAATGATTATCTCTATGTCTTTCACTTCGTGATGAGAATTCAAAAGGGTACTGATGCTATAATGAATAAGATGTTTGCACAAATCTTAACAACAATAGCCTAGTAATGGCTTTTGAGGTTTAAAAACAAGGAGTATTACTTGTTTCAAGCAATTGGCAAGGCAATTCTTAGGCAAATTCTCATGTCAAAGATGTTGCACTCCAAATGATTTTGATGATAACAAAACTCCTTAAGATATTTAATGAATTTAAGCTTAAGTGTATAGTTAAAAAGTCCTATAGTGCATCAAAGAAAAATCTAGAAAACTACAAAACTAGGTTGAAGAGTTGAATATTCAACTCTTAAAGCAAAAATATTCGACTCTTGCTTGCAAATTTGACTCCAGAGCAAAATATGTAGAAAATGTGCATTCTAATGAAGAGTCGAATCTAAGAAGTTATAAGGCTTATAGATTTCACTCTAATAGGTTAAGATTCAACTTCCAAATTTTAGAGAGTTTAGAAAGTTTTGGATGTAGGTCATAGTTGACTCTTCATTTGAAAAATCAACTCTTGGTGCTGAAGATTCGCCTTTCACTTCCAAGATTCAACTCTTGGCATGAAGGAGGGAAATCTTGGCTAAGTCCCAGAACTTCTTAGAGAATCAACTCTTAGTTTAAAGAATCGCATTTAGATTTTATAGTTTCAACTCTTGAATTCTAATTCAACTCTTGACTGGATAAAAATGGCTAGTTTTTCAAATCTAACGTGTCTACTAAGCATTTAATGCATACCAACAATCCTAAATGACTAATTTCAACTAGAGGATGATATATAGGCTTGGTGGGAGTATTGAAGAGTTTCTTAGACACATTATTAAAGAATCTCAACAAGCCACTTGAGCAAAAACTTACAAATCATAAATTCTCTTGTACTTTCACTTACTTTCACTTGCATACTTGATCATTAAGTGATCTTCATGTAATCTTCATCTTGTTTTCTGTAAGTGTTATCTTGGGGGTGTGATTAATTCCTTCAAGAGTGGTTTGTGGTAAAGATCATTAGGTTCTTTTTGTAAAGGGGGATGAGTTGAATGAAAACCACTTTGCTTGTAAAAGGATTGAGTGACTCCTTTAAGCCACCCTTATCCTTTCTAGCAGAGTGTGTCGAGGAAATCCTTAGTAGGTGAAGCTAAGGTAGAGGATTAGGTGCCAAGTGGTTAGACTAAACCTTTATAAATCCTCTGTGCAAGCTTTTTTTCCCTTCACTCTTTAATTTCTAAGTTGTGACTGCAATAAAGGAAAATTTTCAAACTCTAATTCACCCCCATCTTGGAGTGCAGTAAGCCAACAAAAAGTAGGTTAATGAGGCATCAACAAAGTTATGGAACATAGTGCAAAAGGAGAATGAACCCTTGTAAGCTTATGTAAAGAGGTTTAATGCTACTGATGGAATCAAGATGATAGCACATGTACCACGTCAAGTGATTCATTACACATCCAAGGAGGTCCAGACACGAGAGCTAGAGTTAAGAATATGTGATAAGTTTTAAATGGCCTATTAAGCAAATCTAGGTTGAAAATAACATGCAACAAATAAATCGAAAATTGGATGATTATCAAGACATGGTAAACATCATTCAGGTTCGAGAGAAGCTTAGTTGAGGTCATTTGCATCGAATTACATAGTTTGCATCAAAATTACACAATTCTGCTACAATTTGTAGCACTCTAATACTTCATGTTATTTTGAGTGATCTTCATGTTTTCTGTTTTTTTTTTTTTTTTGAACATTCATTTATTTGAAACACAATTCGTGGTTATTAAGTTTAGAAATTAAGG